TCTTGACAATAGTTTTTTACCTATTCAAATTCAATCGCCTATATCAAATGAGGCCTAAGTAAGTTATCATTCTTTTACCTTCAACATTAAAGTAATTGCAGCATTGTAAGCTTTCACATGCATGTAATTTGTTGTTGATGTATGGTTTTCTCAATAGTGGAAAATGATGGGGCAATATTAGCTCTTCAACAATAGTCGCATGCATTACATAATGAACTGACAATGCAATAGGAAATTTAGTATACAAATGAAAAGACAAATATAATTCTTATCCTATTCTAGAAAACCCTAACACAAACCATATAAAAACACTCTAACATAGAACTGAACCAAGTTGTTAGCTTTTCCAATAAATTTTACAGAGTTTAATTAGTTAGTACGTACCTTTCAAATAGTATGCACTAGCAAAAAAGCATGAGCGATGCCGCGAGTTTACAACTCTAGTTCCGCTTAATTACAACAATGTTTTTAATTTTATTCCAATTGTACTCGTGTGTACCATATCCCTCTACAATACCCCACCACCAAAGGGGGTTCATGATTCGTTGTGACGCATGCTTTAAATTCAGGAACTTTTATTCCTTTTTTGTTCTTTAATTATTAAATTTATAATCCTTGAGCGATACATATCTTATATTAAGAAGACATCATACAATAACAATGAATGTTTTACACTGTGCAAGTGGAGCAGCTTTCATTTGCCAATTTCTCGTGTGATAATGCAAGCTCCATTGTTGAATTAAAAAAACAGTAGATAAAATTGAACCCAAAAGGCAAAAGCCTTCTCTAACAAATAGATACATATAAACAGTCGTTTGGGATATAGGTATGGGTGTACCTAGAAGAATAGAGATGCACTGAGTCGGAGAGAGCAAAGAATGATAGTGGAATTTTGGAGGAATACTGGACGATGACGAACTGCACGGCCAGAGCTGTTGGTGGCGGTGATTCTGCAGCGAAAGATAGTTAGAAAAAAGTATTCAATAAATCTTACAGAACTGTAATAATTCAGTCATGAGCTTCAGATCATTGGCATTTCAATAATAAGGATTCATAATTTCAAATTTTAATATAGAATTAACAGTTTACAAAATTAGAGGCACCTGATGGCATAGCGTACCGGCTTCAAGTATGCTAAAGTTAGACATAATCTTCAGTATGTAGAGGTGTTTTCGATTCTGAATTTTCCCTGCAACGGTTCACAACTAGTTTCTACAAATTTTGAAAACGGGAGCTGTTAGTATGGATGTGTGTTAAATTTATCTCGTAACAATAGGACGTATAAGAAAACGAAGTGAAGGTGCATATATAATTCATGTTTCCCTCTCTTTTTCATCTACTCAATCAGATATATGCGAGTACTAAATTAGTGCATTTAAATTAAAAAGAGTTGACAGAGGCATAATTGGAGAAAGAAAAGGTCTTTATATCAATAAAAATCAAAAGATGCTTTATAATTGGACATAGAAAATGAGGAAAATGATAGGGACGAAACAAAGAAAGGCCATTAAAATTTTGACAGAGGCATTCTCAGCAAGTAAAAAAAGAGAGGCATTCCCAAACAGACAATACAATATAGGAAAATAATAACTGAGGAGGAAAAATAAAAACCAAAAAAATAAAAAAATTGTAAACCTCGGTAGCAACATAGAATGCATAAGAATTAAGCATTTGTTTTTGAGGGCTTGAGTTTGTTTTCTAATTTGAAGCAAAGAATACTTGAATGAAATGCCAAATAAAAACCCCAAAACGATGATTAAAATATGATATTGAGAAACATAATACAAAAATTATATCTGATATTTAAATTGATTGGCCTATCTGATGTTTATTCAGTTCAAGTATCAATTCAAATATCAAATAGTGCTTCGAATATTAGAAAGATTATGCAACCTGCAATTCAAATATCTGAAATTGGCCTGCTTTTGCAGAAGTGCCCAAAATTCAGGGGTTACTCAATTTCATGTTTGAAAGCCATTCTGTAATTGAAAATCCAAAATTCAGATTCCTCTCCAAAGTCTCAACAACACTATAACTGACCACAAATCCAAAAAACCAGTTCAACCCCCAACTTTGACCATTTTTCACTTTCAATTCGCATATCATCACTAAATAAAAACCATCCAAGTCAAAACATATTAAGAACATAGGTGGAGAGCTGAATCTAAGGTTCTGGAATCACATATGTATTCCCAAATCAGTGTGAAAACAATGAAGCTATGATTACAAAAGGCTATGCTAATTTTTTGATAAAAACACGTTGTATCAAACGTTAGATTTATTAACCAAATGTAAAAGGAGATGGTAGAGATCACCGACATCTGTATCAAAAGGTTAAGTTTATTAACGAAATTATTAGTACAATTGTTGCATCTTAATATGTATCTAAATATATCCACCTTGATTTAGTGAAAGTGATGTTGGTGGTGGCGTTGGAGAGGGGACGAAGAACAAAGAAAAATCAAAACAGAAAAATACACAACTAATTCATCAATCAATACCATCTCCCTCATGCGAAAAAACCCATAGTCCCAAAAACTACAGACCAATAACAGTTTGATCTGATTACAACAATTAGATGGCCAAATGGAAGACCCAAAATCTCTCTACCGCAAACGCTCATCTGCAACCACACTCCTTACACTCCCTGTCTCTTTCCCTAACCCCTGCTTCACCAAATGACCCGTTTTCCATATACCTTGCATAATCTTTCTTGGAAGCATTACCTTTTCTTTTTGAAGCCTTCTTACCTTGAGGCCTAATTGGAAAACGGGTCGACCTCGACGCTTGTTCAATCAGGGGCGTTTCAAGCACTTCTTCTGCATCATCTTCATTACGATCATGCGAGGCATGATTGGGTGTAGAGTGTAGATGGACGCTGTTCATGAAACTTCTGGACCGACAGGCACAATTATGAATTTAGGACAATCTTTGATAATATTCCAACATTCAAACCGGGTGAATGTTTTGCTTTTGCTTTTGGTTTTGGCACCATACCAAGCTTGTGCTTGAAGTTCCTACACAATGCGGGAGGATAAATAATTATAATGAGAATAGGTAACAAATAAATAATACAAACAAATAATTATAATGAAAATAGGTAACAAATAAATAATACAAACAAATAATTATAATGAAAGTACCTAACAAATAAATAATACAAACAAATAATTATAATGAAAGTAGCTTAACAAATAATTATAATGAAAGTAGCTAACAATTAAATAATACAAACAAATAAATAATATATTGTTACCTGATCCGCTAAATTTTCCCCACTTCGAATATTACCACTAGCTGGTGCCAAGGCGTCTCTCCACGTACTAAACACTTGGCTAAGTAATTTCCAACGACTGGACATCGATTCTTTAGTTCTTTGCCCACCCATTTTCTCAAGATAATTGGTATGAATAAGACTCCACATTTCTCGCAACTGCATCGCATTACCCGTAAGCGAATCATGAGTAACTTGAACCCAGCTAGTCAACGCAACATCTTCAAGAAGCGTCCAATTCGTATCTGCTTGAGTAGTCATTTTGTTGGAAAAAAAAATTGGATTCAAACTTTGAGAGAAATATAGGAATGTGGTTGAAAGTAGTTGAGAAAATATGAAATTGTGGTGTAAGGTAGAAGATAATGAGAAAGTATTTATAGAAAAGTAAAAGCAAATTTTTTTATAATTTTTCATAATTTTTTTTTTCGGATTTTAAAGAATTTTTACATTTTTTTTCAAATTTTTATTCACCTAATTAATCTCTACCGTTGGATTTAAAAATTTTGAATTTCAACACTCCAGATTGTGCCACGTGGGACAACGGCAACATTTCAGAATTTTTAACTATTTATTCTTTTTTTTTAATTTACAAAGCCTAATAACGTGGACCGTTGATCTTAGATTAAACAGATGAAATTAAATGAAAATTTTTAAATGTTTTTTATCGTTGGAAATCCAATGGTCCATAAAATAAGGCCATTGCAATCGAACAAACATGGGGAAGCCACGTGGCTTCCCCAACGGTAACTTTTCAAAACAGGCGTCATGGGCCCCAGCGCTGTTTTTTTGTTGGAAGATGTGCGCGTGAAGCACACGCGCCTGACGTAGCCCTCGGGCTGGCAATCCACGCCGGGCCTGCTCCTCGGGCCTCGCCTGTCACTCGGGCTTCCTAACGCTGGAGCCTATCCCCCTAGCAATTTGCTCCTGTTTGAAAGCATGGCCCCCGAGCAACCTCATCCGCTGGAGTTGCTTTAAACGTTATAGGTATATTCTCACCTCTACCTTTTCGGGACAGCTCCAGAGCAATCAAATCCGTTAGGAGTGGGCAATCTAATGCATCATTCATTCTCCCTCAAAAACCGTTCAACCCAGTCCAGGGCATGGGCTCCAGGGGAGCCCAATTCTTCAATCAGGCGATAATTCATTAGCCTAATGCTTGGCCTATGTACCCAAGGTTAATGTCATCGTGACGTCAGCCACAATTTAAATTATTAAAAATTATAAAAAAAATTAATTAATCAAAATAAAAATAAAAATTATATAAATATCTAATCATGTTCGTTCACTTTACAACATTTCAATATTTTTAAATACTTTCAACCAATCTTTTATTTTATCCGTAATTAAAAATAAAGTTATCTTTAATTATTTTATAAAAAATATTTTAATACCAATAGTCTGAGCTATTCATTTTAAAAGTAAAAATGCACTTAGATAATTACTGTTTACCTCAAATAATTGAGTTGTCTATAGCCTGAGGGCATTTTAGGGTGGAAATGCTCAGTCAACATTGATTGGTCATGGAACAAACAGTTATGATAAATAATTGAGGTTCGTCGACCATGTGGTAAGCGGGGCATTTTCTTATTCGATATCCAGATCCAGATGGTCCCTCCCCTCTCCAGAAATACAAAATTATATGTAGAAAAATTAATGTTCCCACGTTGATGAGTACCTCAGCCTCATTCTATAAATACATACCTCCTCCTTCACTTCTTCACATCTCAAAATCTCCCATTACATCATCTTCCTTTTCATCAATTTTTTTTTTCTATTTTCCAAACACTTCGCAAAATCATGGGTGTTTTCACATACGAATCCGAGACCACCTCCGTCATCCCCCCTGCTAGGTTGTTCAATGCGACTGCTCTTGATGGTGATGAACTCATCGCCAAGCTTGCACCACAGGCAGTGAAGAGCATTGAGATCCTTGAAGGAGATGGTGGAGTTGGAACTGTTCAGAAGATCATCTTCGGTGAAGGTAGCACAAATGGCTACGTGAAAAAAAGAATTGATGTGATTGACAAGGACAACTTTGTGTACAAGTACAGTATGATTGAGGGAGATGCTATCTCAGAGACAATTGAGAAGATCTCTTATGAGACTACGTTGGTGGCTTCTGGCAGCGGTTCCATCATCAAGCGCACATGCCACTACCACACTAAGGGTGATGTTGAAATTAATGAAGAGCATCTCAAGGCTAGCAAAGAGAAGTCTTCCCACCTCTTGAAGTTGGTTGAGAACTACCTCTTGGAGCACCAGGATGCCTACAACTAAATTCTCTTATGCCTCTTCAATGATTTTCTGAAGTGTTGATCATAACTTTGTGTCCTCTTGGGCATCAGTGAATTGTGTGGTTTTCGTTCCCTTGTATTTCCTTACATTTACAAATGAATAAAAAGAAAATCATGGGGGTTTGATGATATATTTGCATGTTCCTTTTTAGGGGAAACTTGATATAAGACAATTTTTTTAGTCAATGGTGCAATTTATTAAAATAAGTCCAATTCCTTAAATTTAATTATTTTATTATCAATAATTATCTATTCAATGATAAGATTTATTATAAAAATCAAATTTATTCCTAATTATCTCTTTGATTATTTCTTTTTATTTAGTTTTTTGTTATTTCTTGTTCTTCCTCTTGCTTTGAACCCCATTTATAGATTTAATTTTTTATTTTTATAATCAACCTATATCACAGGTTAACAGGACTCACTCATAAAAATCATCCATGTTTTTAATACAAGGAGTATAAAAGAAATAAAAACATGTAATTAGATAACTGAACTCACTTATAAAAATCATCCATGTTTTTCGACTTTGATCTAAAAGCCCCTTCTTTTTATGCACCTTGGTAATGAATTTAGAGCTTCATTTTATAACTATATGTGACCCAACTTATATATGTAATTCATATTAATCACCTATTATTTTTTTAAGAGCAAATATCAATCACCTAAATATTTTAATAAACTTGTATAATATCTGAGTGGATAGGCTGTTGATTTTCACCATGCGTCTCGAATTTAAAATTTTCTCTTCTTTAAATTATTGTAATAGTTTTGAACGATGTGCATGCCCGTAATAGTAAATTTAAAAATAAATAAATAATAACTCATATTGTCACCCATGCATCCCTATTCAAAACTCCTCCCTTTTACATTATGTAATAATTTTGAACGCTTCCTTTATTTTTAATAGTAATATTTTTTAAAAAGTAATTCATATAATAAAATAATTATACATCTACTCTATGGTACCCGATCAATTTAAAAGCATTACATTTTCTAGTTGTATATGAGTTACCAATATAACACGTCAATTAGTAAATGATTGTAATATTATATTATATTTGATAACGTGACAAGTATGCCATTCTACCTACTCCTTCATATTAGCCGGCCACTAATTAAAAATGTGACAATTATCATTTCATTTCTTTATTTTTAAAAATGAGACAACTGGTGACAAATCAAAGTTATTTTTTATTTTTTATCCAAATAAGCTATGAAGAATTTCACCATGTTCATGACCACAATCAAGCAATCAAATATCATTTCATTTGGCCTAGTACTTCATATTAGCCGGCCACTAATTAATATTGTTAAAGTCTTTAAATTGATAATGTGACAAATATCATATATCATTGGACCTAATACTTCATATTAGCCGGCCACAAAGCATACGCCGGTTACCAATTCAAAGATAAATAGTAAAGGATATAATCAGCTTATATTATATTTGGATGATAAATTTAAGATACTAAGAAATTTTCCAGTTACATAATTTGAAATAATTTAATTTAATTTCTAGAATTTGTGAATTTTTTTTGTTCCGCCAATAAAAGAACAATAAAATTTAAATACAGAATTTAATGAGTATATAAAGTCATTAATAGATAAATGAGATAAAGTTATTAGTAAATGTGTTAGCAGTAATGGCAACGACGTGGTGGCAATAGTGGTAGCAGCAGTGATGTTGTGCAGTGGTGGCTGTGGTGGTGACGTAGGGTGGTATGATGATGGTGGGTGGTGGTGGCAACAATAGTGATGATGATAATAGGTGGTGGTGACGGCAAGAACAGTGACATTGGTATGTGGTAGTGACATGTGGTGGTGGTGGTGGTGGTGGCCGCTTTTGGTTAAGTTTATATTTTTTGTTTTTATGTACTATCAAAATTTGAAATTTTCAACCATTTACGTGAAATTTAAACTTGAGAATTGAAGGTCTAAGATTTAAAAAATTTCTTCTTCGTGTGAAAAATCTAAATTTCTATGTATGTAAATTCAAATAAGAGAATTTATGCATGTTAATATATATAAATTCTAAATTTAGTCGAAACTTCAAATTTATTTCCTTTATTCAAACGTAATGTTATTGACCAGAGCTAACTAAATGAGTTGAACCAACTGCTATAAGACAAAGGCTACAATTCCAAAAGTGATTCCTATCTCTCACGCAAAATGAAACGACTATTTTATAGCATCATATCTACAATTCACAAGTGATTCCTGATGAGTAGATTTTATATTATATATTACCCTAATCTTAGTATATTTTGGTTAATATATTGGAAGAATTTTGATACTTTGAATTGTATTTTCAATATAGGACTTTCGAATTCCTCTGGAGCAAAACAGGACCAAATGGACGAATTTTGGAGTAATTCCAATTGAAGGACGTTCGTGAGTCAATTAGCTTGATCGTATCAAAATTTGGGATTTTTCCACCAAGCAGTTATTTTCTGGCGATGAAATAAAGAAGCAGTGCGCAGTGCTGAAAAGTGACGTTTTTGGGCTTAAATGACGTTTTTGGAGCCCAAGATGACCTCGGATGGGTTCGTGGCCTTCTGGAAAAGTGTTCAGAATATTCCAAACATCAAATCCAGCTATATTGGGCCAGTTTTGGAGCAGCTTTTGGGCCAAAACGTGGCTGTTCAGATTTTAGACGAATTTTACTATTTTTATTTAGGGTTTTTATTAATTTTAGTTTGCTAGGGTTTGTGTGGGGGCTTAGCAGATATATTGCTTAGCCGTCTACAATTTTAGACTACGCTTTATTTTATGCAAGATTGGAGACAGAGAGAAGGGTTAGGATTTTGAAGATTTTCTACTTGAAGGTGCTTTCAATCCTTTTCTTGGATATTTTTTCTATGATTTCAATTATGAATATGCGGAACTAATTTCTTTTGCTAGGGCGAAGCCTTGAGCCTTAGCATGAATATGTGATTTTTATTTAATTGCTTATGATTGATTGCATGCATATTTTGAATTGTTAATCACCGGGATAAAAACTATCTAATTGTCTTAATGCCTGATCACCATTAGGATCTTTAGAAAAGTAATTTGATGCAATTTTGGTCGGAAGGTTCCCTGAAATTGACGCTGGCTTCTTGTGATTAATAATTGTAATTTCTCTTAAGATGAATATCACGTCTTAAGGATTGCATGGTTTTTCAAAGGATTTTCATAAAGCATAATGAGTCTTTCATGTTTAGATTTGATCCGAACGTCCGGACGGGTTGCATGTTAGATATACGTTCTATGTTGGAGGTTCCAAGTAGAATATGAATTAGGAAAATCTAACCTTCAAAGTGGCATGTGTAGATCATAAGTAATTGGTAAAAATTCATAGGATTGCTAGGTGATGGTGGAACCCTAGTGCTTTCTTAATTTGATTTTCTCAAAACTGTTTTCTTCTCTCTAATCCTAATATTGCAGTTTGTTTATTTTAATTCATTAAATTCGTTTTTATTTTAATTAGGTTATAAAATCACTCACTTAAATTTCTACTTTACAATAATTAATTGAAATCTGATTTGTTTCGGTTTAATTAATAATCCCTGTGGAGAATGACCTTGCGAGATCCAATTATACTACAATATCCTTGTAATTCTTGCAAGTAAAATAGGAGGTTTTTTATCGCATTCACATGAGCAGTAAAAATCCTATCAAGAAAATGGCGCCGTTGACGGGGATTATTTAAAATAATCCCTACGATTCAGATTTTCAATTAGTTATTGCTGTTTATACATATAATAAAAACAAAAAAATATTTAATTTTCGCATTCATTTAATTTTTACAGATTACAAGATTACAACAGTAGTGCAGATTGCAGAAATCTGTGTATGGTCAGCACCCGTTCAACAGTGCAGAAATTGATTCCATTTGATCCAGAGCTTGAGCAGAATTTAAGGAGGAAGCGCAGAGAGCAAAATTTCCAGCGGGTTCGTCCACAGGAGACATTTCTGGAAACCGTATCTACTGGGGACCTGCACAACAAAGACAAAATGGCGTTTGTAATTCCAGAGGCAGGTCTGCCCCTGGGTGATTCACTGACTGCCCATACCACAAATATACCCAGTTGCATCACATATCCGGCAGTGGAGGAAGGGACTGCATTTGAAATAAAACAGCACATGTTGAATATTCTACCTACGTTTCATGGGTTGTCATCTGATGATCCTAACATGCACATTGCGGAATTTTTAATGGGGTGCAAAAACATTTTGGTGAGGGGATTTTCAGCCGAATCTATTAAGTTGCGGTTATTTCCATACACTCTAAAAGATCAGGCAAGGAGATGGCTCCTCACACTCCCATCTGGAAGCATTACAACTTGGGCCCAACTCAGTGAAAAATTTCTAAACAAGTATTATCCAGCTTCTAAGACGCTTGACATGAGAACTCAGATTTTATCTTTTGCCCAAAAATCAAACGAAGAGTTTCATGAGGCGTGGGAGCGGTTTAAAGAGTTGATTAGAAAATGTCCGCATTCGGGTATTAACACTACTGATCAAATGCACATATTTTTCAGAGGGTTGAATATGACTACAAAAACTCTTGTCAACGCTTCATGCGGAGGTACGTACAAAGACAAAAATGCACAAGAGGCTTGTTTGTTATTTGAAAAAATGGCAGAAGATACTCAGCAGTGGGCAGTGGAGCAGCCACAATCTAGGTCAGCTTTCGAGATGTCTACTGGTTCTCCCTATGTTACAGCACAAATTGAAAAAATGGAGAAAAGGCTTGACGCGAAATTTGACATGTTATTACAGAGAATGCCAGGTTCTCAAGGTGCTGTACAGCAGCCTTTACAAGCTGCCTGCAGCATTTGCAACATGATAACTCACGATTTTATAAGCTGCCCACATAAAGAGGTTTCACCAGATTTTACAGCAGAGCAGGTTAATGCATTTAACAATTTCCAGCGTCCCCGATACGACCCATATTCTAATTTCTACAACCCAGGTTGGAGAGATCATCCTAATCTAAGGTGGGATAAGGAACAGCACACTAGACCTCAATTTCAACAGCAGGTACAGCAACCTGCTGCACCTAAGGCTGCCTGGGAGGTATCGATTGAAAAATTGGCAAATACTACCACTCAAGAAATTCAAAATCTGCAGGCATCAGTGAAAAACATGGAAAAACAAATGGGGCAGATTGCTTTGCAGGTTTCTGGAAGGGCTCCAGG